GATAATAAAGGAACAGATGTTCTGACTTTTTTGAATCAAAGTCAAGTTCTCAAAGAAGGAATACTTTTGACAAGTATCTCTGTGGTTACGTTATGAATTCGATTATACAACATTTATAATGTATTGTTTATAACTGTAGATATATACACAATTTCAAGAATGATTATATGTATTTATATCTCTTCATATAATTAAAACGTCACTTTTAAAGTATTTTATAACATTTTTTTCAGCAAGACAAATTGACTATTAATATGTTAGAACTGAAACCACTAACAATTACTATGAGAATCAGTTAAAGAGCCAAAATACTCAAGGGACAACCACGCAGTTTAGGATGACAAAGCAGGACTGGGGTCTCTACAGATGAGAGAAAATAGGTTAAAAAAAAAGTATTCAGGCTTTAGATCAATCTAAACTTGGAGCTCTTTTATTATACAAGGGTAGTACAAACCTGTTTTTCTCTCTCTGTTCTAAGACACCAGATCTGCTGAATGATACATGAAGCATAAATGTAAGATAGGACTATCAGAGTAACAAAACCATACATGATTTTGAGTGGAGCCAAAACTAGCCTGATGAGCTAGAGTTGTAAGAATGTGGGAAAAAGCTGGTAACATTTAGAATTTAAAATTCTATATTTAAAAATTAAACACATTAGGAAAACCTTAATCATCCATGCCATAAAGTATTATGTAGCTGTTAAAATACGTGAAGTACTTACACATGAACTAACATGGTAAGATGCCTGTGAGATATTAAATAAAAATGACAATTTGCATAATTATGTAATAGTATGATCCCATGAGAAAAACTAATATTAAGAATATATATATATTTGTGTGTGCATATATACACATACACATTTGTAAACACTGAAAAGGATTTGGAAGTATTCACATAAAATGTTAACAGTGGTTGCCTCTGGAAAGTAGTAACAGGGAAACTTAAAAATACTTGATAATTTTCTATAATGTTCAAAAACTTACAGTGAGCATTCTGTTAAAAAACAGATAATCTTATAAAGTCTGAGAATAACATTAGTTTTAACTTATGAGTTGTATTAGTCAAATATTACTAAAAAGGGTACTAAAATCTTTAAAAGTGTATATACATTATAAAATCGGTGTTTAAAAACATTGATAACTTTAATTTACATAAGCTTGGGGAGAAGCCTGATCTGTATCTAAAAGCTCCAAATAAAGAAGGCAGTTTACCAAAAATACAGTTTGTAGAAAAAATTAAGTATTACTTAGTTGAGAAGCCACCAGAAACTTTGTTCTTCAGACAGTTGACTAACTTTCAATATAGTAGAAAGAAATGTGTTTAATGGATTTCAGATTTATGGCTGCATTTACTTTTTCAGAAGAAATCAAAAGATATAACACATATGATTGTCTTTTGCCCGGGCTAGAGTGAGTGCCGTGGCGTCAGCCTAGCTCACAGCAACCTCAGACTCCTGGGCTCAAGCGATCCTTCTGCCTCAGCCTC